GATCTCAAGTCCCCTGGCTGGTCAGTAATTTTGAATGACCCCCAAGGAGACTGAAGACTTAGGAAGGTCAGAGTCAAGTGTGATTAGCAGCTGGTCGTAGCGCAGCTTCCTGTCCTCGGACGTTATCTGTGAGGAGGCACAATGAGAGAGTGAATGTAGAAGCCGCATCATTTCACAGTATCACCAAATCACACACAATGTTATTAACAAATAACACATTTAATTGGTTATCTGAAGTTCCTTAAGGAAAGAAACATACAGGTCACTATGCAGAGAGACATATAGAGGAAAATGTGTGTAAGTGCTTTAGGTAAACTGTTAATGTCAAAGATATATAAAAAGGACACTGTCCCCATGCATATACGTTAAGATATAGGGTTTTTTTCTTCTTCCAATTAGAAGAAGGGGACTTAAGTCGCTAAATGTCTGCACATCAGGGGCCCCCAAATTTAAGTGCTGTGCTATCTTGAGTAAGATGATGATCTAGGTGGTAATTAACTACAGACCCTGGTCTCAATCTGTCTGTTATGTACTCTATAAACTATTAATGTCAGAGAAATGGTAAATGTAAACAGAGAAAAGTTATACAGAATCATACATGGTTTTCCTCACATCACTTTAGGAGCCCCAGATGACCTCTTTGGGTCTTACTCTCAGATGAAATGAATGCAGAGGAGGAGATGGAATAAGATTTGCTCACTGACTTTGTAACTCCAATAAAATTTGTAATATAATTTCACTGTACTATAAATTATAAAAAAAAAAAAAACAAAAAACAGGAGGAGACTTGGGGACTCTGCCCTTTTTTTTTTTAAACATAAATCACAGCATGAATCCCCAAAGCATTCTTGTGCTGGCAACTGTGGACTCTTGCGGCGTTTTGCTGTGTGATGAGTCACCTCAAAATTTAATGGCTTAAAACATTTGTTATTTTTTAGTTTTGTGTATTGGTTGGGTGACTCTTTCTGAGTCAGAAGATCTGGGAAAACAAAAAATAAGCAAACATAGATTTACCAAATATGTTTAATTAATTTCAATCAATATCATATAGCTATATCTAGGGAGAAGATGAAATATGTTTCTATCTATATAAAACAAAATAACTTGGGCTTAATTGTATTCTTTTAAATAAAGTTTAGGTACATATATATTTATACCCTCTTTTATTATTTAGTAGGATTCAATGAAATAAACTCTGTTGTTCGATATTGCCAGATTTTTGAGACAGTCTTTTAAATAACATAATCTGGTCAATATATATATATATATCACACATGGATTTCCAGTTTGCTAATTTAAGTACAATACTAAAATGCAATGGTCCAATCAAAACATAGTTTCTTCTGTGTATGGACCCTTGTGCCATATGTACGCTCATCAAATACTGTTCTGAAAAGCTGTTGTTTATTATGGAGTCTCCAGAACGCTAGGATTAAGCAAAGGCAGCTCTAGGAATTCAGGGTTCAGTGCGAGAAGGGGTCAGAGTGACGCGAAGCATTAGCCCCCTGGGGACTTGGGACATGATCTCTGATACCTTCATTTTGTAGTGAGGAACAAAGGCAGAACCGTTCTCAATTACATATATAATAACAGCAATTTGGATTTTACTCTTTTAAATTTCTATTTTCTATTTTTTTGTTGTTTCAATACCTATCTTTTTAAAATTAATTTTATATATTGAGATTCATATAATAATGCACAACTCTTAGGATCCAGCTTGATGAATTTTGACATGTGTATACACTCAGGTAAACACAGTGCAGGTCAAGAAATCAAACACTGTAAGGATAACAAAGCATTATGCATTTATGGTTCGTATATTTTTTTAATGGAGGAAAATGGGGAAGATATTTTAAATCTGTTAGGGAGATTTCAGGCCTATGTCTTTTTACTCTTTGAAGCCTACTACAGAAATTTTAAAAAAGAAAGTGTTGAGTGGGAAGCAGTATTTGAGTCTTAGTCTGATTTTAAACTACATAATAGTTTAACTATGTTTTTAGCTTTTGCCTGAAGATTTTGATATAGTGGAAAAAAATGAGATAATGATTTTGAAGGGCGTTTGGTATAGTTAAAAATAGTATATTTCCTTAAAAACTTTACAAAACCTTCATAGCTAAAAATTGAGTATATAAAACATTTATTAGTGTTTCATATAACTTCCTTTTTATCTCCATTTGTGTTGAAAGGGTGAGGGAAGGAAGGTAACATTGCCACCTAGTGGTCATCAGGAAGTAAAGCTAATAAAACCAAATGACGCCAAGTTTTCTTTTTGAGATCATCCACTCCACGTGATTAGCGTGCACCTATAGGGTCATGACATACTGTGCTTTAGTTAAGGTTTACTTAGATGTTAACGACCCAAATAAACATAAAACTTAGGTAGCAAGCATTTGAAATGGAAGTGGAAATAACAGGTGGAGATTTCCTCGTGCTAGAGATACACCCTGGCATTTGCTTCTGCATGTCAAACACTACCTACCATATGTTAACAAGGAGACGCCATTGGACCCTGTTATTTCTTCCCTCTGCTCTTTTTTTTTTCTTTTTTTTTTTTT